GGTTAGTATCTTGCCCAAGGATATTTGTCATGCAGCCAGGATGCAGCCTGGGATCGAACCACCGACCTTCTGATTAGTGGCTGACCTGCTCTGCCACCTGAGCTACAGCCACCCCTAGCATGTCCTGACTGAGAGATTTTGGAAAAAATTCAAACGTACAGCTCTGTTGTCACTGATGCTGTAAACAGACCAAACTTCAGTCAGGAGAACAACTGAGATAATCCATTCTCAATACGAGGTTAGTCATTAATATACTGCAACAACATGGGAATAGAGCAGCTGCCAGAGAATTCAGCATTAATGAATCAATGGTAGGGAAGTGGAGGAAGCGCAGGTTTTGGCTTTCCCCATATTCTAAAACGTGCTTTGTCTCTTTGCTGCTGCAGGAATTTGCAGATGATGCAATGTTTTCAACCAAAACAGGCGCAGCTCGATGACACCATCAACATGCACTATCGCGGTAGAGCGGTACAGTCAAAATCTCTACTGTTGGTTAAATTCATATCGTTTCTACTGTATACCGTTCATACCGCCCACCCCTACTATGAAACATGAACTAAGTAGAGCTATCAACTAAACATGATATACTACGGAATGTGAACTATGAGGGAAGCAAGTAATACTATAAACATGATTTTCAGGAGGTTTTAACTAGGAAGTCCCCAGGGCATAAACTGTGGCAGACAGGGAGTGGCAAGAGGGCTGTAATGTGGGAGTTGGGGCAGAGTGGTACTGTAACAGAAGGAAAACAGAGTCAGTCTGGTCCAGGAGGAAACAATAGCATAAATCCCAGCTGATAATTTGAATGACTTACTTGGTTGCAGAAGGATGTATGTGTGAGAGGGAAGGTAAGGAAACTCAGGCCTGGGTGAGTCCAATGGAGAAGTGATGTGTGATTCCTAGAAACAGCACAGGCAGGGAGGCAGGCGAGACTGGAGAAACACTAATTGAGAGTTTACCAGCAGCTTACAGAGTAAATGGAGGTCAGCGTCTGGGTGACTATAGCTATTGTGGGACTGCAAGATGGATCTGGAAACGACTGCAAGGACAGGAATACAATGACAAACACAACAGATACACACGAAGAACATGAGACCGAGAACTAATGTGGTTAGCATAAAATCTGGTAACGGCTGGTTGAGAATGCTGACACCAAGTGGTGTTTTGTTGTTGGACTTCTGTGCAAACCATAGTTTCGCCATAACGAACACAATGTTTAAACACAAGAGTGTTCGTAAGTATTATGGACACTGACATCTGTCAGTCTGGAAAAGGTTTTAAAGCCATTTCTAAGGTTTTGGGGCTCCATTGAACCACAGTGAGAATCATTATACACAAATGGAGAAAAGCTGGAAGAGGGATGAACATTCCTGCTAGTGATCGACTGAGCAAAATTACTCAAAGAACACACTGACGACTTATCCAGGAAGTCACAAAATACTCCAGGACTACATTTGAGCTCTTCTGGAGTCTTTTGAGACTTTGCAGTGGCCTAGTCAAAGATGCTGTGGCACAACCTTGAAAAGTCAGTTCACGCTCAAAAACCCTTCAGTTATTACAATTGCTTGATTGCAGTTTTTGCGGTAATGGTGGCTAAACCAGATATTAGTTTTAGGTGGTAATTAATTTTTTTCACAGAGGGATATGTAGGTTTGGATTTTTTTTCCCCTTATTAATAAACTTTTATTTAATTTATTTTAACTTGTGTTTTTATTTAACCTTTGTTTATACAGGTAGTCCCACTGTGACACAGTGTCACATTTACAAGAAAGGTCTTTTCCAGACAAACATATTAAAATGATAAAAAAAATTTTTAAAAAAAACAATAAAACAGCTACATTTGTCTAATGTACACAATTAAAAACAAGAACAAATTCCCAGTGACGATTTCACAAAAACATGTTCACATCTTTTGCAGTCTGCAAGTGAAATCAATTAAGAGAGTCTTAAATTTTTCTGTAATTAATTTTAAGGAGACAGGGTAGGATAGGAGAATGCCTTCTTTTGAAGCTCTGTTTTGTTGAATTTTTATGAATTGTAATTTGTGTATATTATTGTTTTTCTTTAAAATAATAAGAATATACTTAAGCTAGTTTTACCAGGTAAATCTGTTTTCAATTTTACTTTTGGAAAAGTTGTGATTAGTTTGGTAACTTTTGGACCCTCCCATTAATTAAGGGTGTGACAAACATACAAAAAAGAAGAAATCAAAAAGGCAGCAGACACCTTTTTACACCACAGTATTGCTGTTTAACATTTGTCTGCTTTGGCATTAAAAAGTGAAAGCACCAACATTTCTAATTCATGGTGTGTCTGAATAGCTGCGTGAAATGTCAAAGATAGCAGCGCAGTAAATAAATTAGGGCTCATCCTGAACATGACTCAGATAGTTCTTCTCAGCTGTGTCAATTATATGACTATTCTTTCTTCTTCTTTGTGTGCCTATGTGAGTTTCAGGTACCTATTCCCTCAGTAACATCTATACAGGATACTACCCAATACATCACAATATATCCTTTAGCTCCTACAACATCAACAGGTCAATCATATACTCTAACACTGATGATGACACGAGTGGTCGCAAAAAGCAGCTGGGAAAGTGTGCACCCGCTGATCAACAGAAGGAAAACACACAGTCTCACCAGAATGAGCGGCGGTGGTTCAGCATCCTGATGAACTGGGTGAGACCGAACAACTCAGGTAAGAACCAAGAGGTCTGAAGGACCAATAGTCAAAAAGAACAGCATGAAATAAAAATATATATACAGAAGCCTGCATCAACTTCAATTAAAATTCCTCAAGCCCGAAACAACTTATTCCTGCTTATATGCCAAAAGTCAAAACATTTTACATTTTTTGCTTCTGATTTTACTCACTTCTTGCCTCCTCTGATTGTTTATTTATTCATTCAATTATTCTTTTTTCTTTCAGCACCTCATGTTGTAGAGTGGAAGCATAAATGTGTGGGTAAAAAGCAGCCTGATGGAAGCCTCCAGTTTCTGTACAGCATGAACACGATCAAGTACGATGGAGAGAACTTCCTGATTTTTGATGAAAAGAAGAAAGTCTGGATCCCCGTGACTGAGAATGCAAAACAGATTGAGAGGAAGTTGGACCGTGATGAGGGCCTGAAAGAGTTTATCATGGGATACATGAAGAACAAGTGCATGGATCTGCTGAAGGTGTTTGTGTATTGTGAGAACGAGCAGCAAACAAAACGTATGTATGACATTAACAATTTTTATGGTCCATAGAATTTTTGTTACAGTGATAGTAGACCTGTTACTACACTTAACATTTTTTTGTAGTGTACAGAGAGACGCACAGTTTTGTATAGTTTTTGTTTTATCTTGTTTGTTCTTTAAGTTATCTCTGTGACTTTATTTTCTCTCTCCATGAATCAAGTTCTGCTGAAAATCTCTTCCTGTTAAAAGGAAGATCTTCCTCCCAACAGTTGCCAAGCTAAATAATGGTGGGAAAATATGGTTATGTATGTAAACACTCTTTCTCACATTATTTTACATTTTGTCTTTCCAGCTCCACCCGAGGTTCACGTGTTTGCAAAGAACTCCAGTATCAATGCAAACCTCATCTTGATATGCCTCGCCACAGGCTTCTTTACAAAAAAGATCATCATGAGGATCAAACGAAACGGGCGTGTTCTGGATAAAGATGATGGCCTAAAAAGCTCAGGAGTTGTTCTAAATTCAGACAACAGCTTTCAGAGAAGAGACCAAGTGGAGATTTTAAAGTCTGATGTAGCGGAGTACAGCTGTGAAGTCATTCTAGAGGAATTCAATGTGCGTGTTACGAAGGATTGGGGTAAGAACCTCTTCATTGTTTTTGTCAATGCTCAGCTGTTCTGCAGTTTCCTGCATCATTTAATTTATTCAGAGCCATGTTTAAATTCAGAGTCAGTTATTGATTCCCTAGAGCTGCTAAGAATGTTCTCTTTGTATATTTTGTATGACAAAAAATGTATACTAGGGCTGATATGTCCACAAAACTACCAGTGAGTTAACCCAAGAAACATATTATATTCACTTTATTATTCCAGTTTGAACTTCTTTAATCAGTTTTTTCCAGGGAGGAAGCGTATTTCATTGCTAGTATTTTTTTTGGTGTGTTAACAAATTCAGAACTTAAAACAAACAAGGTATTTTCAATACCAAGACAGTGAAAATAAGTCAAAGTGAATCAGAGTAATTCTGTTATTTAAAATGATGCCCTGCTAAAGATGAATAATTACCAGCTACAAGTGACAGCAGCAAGAGCATAAGGCAGGATCATGATAGCTGTAAGCATTTACACTTGAAGAAGTCTCTTACTCTTTCAAATCACAAGGACAACCCAAGATATAAGTACAAGAGGCAGAAAAAACAACGTCCAAATCACAACGAAGCACAGAAATACGAAATAATCTTAACAAGTGAAGAGCAAGAAAAGGCAGGGTTAACATCCAGGATAAATCCAGATGTAGACAATAACAAGGTGCCTTGTGTGTCTTTAGGAACTTTAGCGTCAGCACTGTGAAAGTGAACAGTCTAAAACTAATGTTAATGTCTTGTGTTACAGATCGCAAAATTCCACCCAAAAAGCCTTTTGGAATTGAAACTCCATTCATTGTTTTAATGGGATTCATCGTGTTCCTGTTTATTGGTGTACCTCTAGTTCTCATGGTCTTTCCTAGTAAGTTCAGGGTGCTGTCAAACAGTGTTTTGTTTTTTTGTTGTTTTTTTTTTACAAATTTTGGTTTTACCTTGTCAAAGTGATTATGTTATCCTCTATATAGATAAAATGAAATTATAACATTTTACCAGTTAAGTGCTCTACTTAGAATCTGTTCATTAAATTAAATAACGTTAACTCTCTTTAATCGAATACATTGTTCAGTGTAGTGCACTTAAAGCCTCTTAACACAGCAGCTTCTTAAGTCTTTTCAGCCACAAAATTAATGTAACAGGCTGGTTTACAAGTTAATTTGAGTGTTGTGTTATCAAGTGTACTGTGTTCAGAATCAGAAAAGGGTTTATTGCCACATGTTGAACAGATTTACAACATTAGGAAATTGCTGCAGTACTTAATGTGAAACATGCTATAAGACAGACACTTAAATAAAAGAATTAAAAATAAATAGAAATAAGAAAAGCACTAAGCAGATTGATATATACATTAATGCAGGTGATGACCAGTGCAAAAATGGAACAGATGCAGAGAACACAGTCTAGGGTCATGTGTTTGTGGTGGGAACAGTCTTATGGTTATTGTTCATGAGTCCAATAGCAGAGGGAAAGAAACTGTTCTTATGGGAAGAGGTTCTGGTCTGAATGGACCGGAGGCCTGCCTGAGGCAAGCAAACTATGGAAACTAGGTCCTTATTCTAGGAGTTTGCTTCCAGTTCCCTGTCAATCAGCTGATGATGATGTCAGCCTGTCATCTCTGCTTGAGCTCACTCTCCTCAATGCTCATTCCATAGCCAACAAATCTTTTGTACTGGATGACTTTTTTATCAGTAACAGTTTGGATTTTATGTTTCTCACGGAATCCTGGCAGCGGGAGAATTAATTTCTTTACCTTAATGAGCTCTGCCCGGTCGGCTGTCACTTCATCGGGACTCCACGTTTGGACCGTCGTGTTGGTGGACTTGCCACTGTCTTCCAGGACAGTTTCTCCTGCAGAGCTTTGGACACTGAGACTTTTCCTTCTTTTGAGTCACAATTTTTTAAGGTCGATTCATCAAATATATTTTACTGTGTTTTAATCTACTGTCCTCCCGGCCCCGCTGGTGTTTTTATCCAGGATTTTACAGACTTTTTATCCTCCATTATTAAACTAGAGAAAGTCTTGATGATCTGGGATTTCAACCTGTACACGGATGATCTTAGCTGTAGCATGGCCTCTGACTTTTTATCCATTACAGACTCTTTTAATTTTATTCAGCATATCTTCGGTCCCACCCACGTTAAAGGACACACCTTGGACCTCGTGTTTTGTCTTGGCTTAGACATACAGTGGCTTGCAAAAGTATTCGTCCCCCTTGAACTTTTCCACATTTTGTCACATTACAGCCACAAACATGAATCAATTTTATTGGAATTACACGTGAAAGACCAACACAAAGTGGTGTATACGTGAGAAGTGAAACGAAAATTGGCCAAGAGCAGGTTTGTATAGCTTCAACCTCTGTCTGTGCGCGGGGATCAGGTGGATCATGACGTGGTCAGAAATTCAGGGCACCACACCCATTTTCACACCTTGGCTTGTGTGATTAGGTAGAGGATCAATAGGGGGTCCATGATCCCCTTGGGGGACACTCCCATAGGGTTTAAAAATCTCTGACTCTCCATCATTTGGCCCTAGTCTGAAGAAGCTGAAGACGGATGAAACGTCTTCAAGCAACGTAAAGACGCTTTTCTTTCCAAGTTGCATAGACTATACCAGCTATAATAACTCTGCATGACACTGAATCCATTCATGATTATTCAAATTCAAATTTTATTTGTCACGTACACAGTCATACACAGTACGATATGCAGTGAAATGCTTAGACAACTGCTCGTGACCTAAAGAAAAAAAGAAAAGGCTATGAATAAGATAGGGAATAAATATGAAAATTAAAAAGGGTAAATTTAACTAGGAAGGAATAAAATATATAAATTAAAGTTGAAAATAAAATAACTGTACAACAAAATACACAATACACAGTATAGAACTGTATAAGAATGTATGAAGAAATATAAATATTATATACACAATAAATATATAAAGGATAATATGACAAATGATAAAATCAAAGTGTTACATTCTGTTGCATTACAGGAGTCAGACGTGGACACAACAACCGCAAAGGTAACAACTTTATTTTTTCTCTCAGTCTTATTAACTTTGATCTTCAAAGTGTGTGTGTGATTTCATTGTGTGACATTTCCACTCACTACTCTGGTAAAAATATTAAAGCTCAATGGGAGTTTTTTCTATGTTTCTCTGCCAACACCAACATAATTGGTTTTGATAATAAATTGATAAATAAATAAGAATTGGAGAAAATTTGAATTATTTATCATCAAAAAATAGAAAAGATGCCTTTCCAGAAAAGTTACGACCTTTGGAAGTGACCTAAAAACAGTTTGATAGCGCAGGGATAAGCACAAGGATAATGTTTCTGTTAAAATAACGTTATTCAACTTGATCATGATTCTAATGAAATAACCAGAATTCTGTTATGTTATAATATTATAATAATATGTTATAATAGTCATATATATTATGAATATATAATATTCATAATAATATTATTATAATTTTTCTTGTTTCGTAGCTCTGACTGTACATGTTTAAGAGCTGTCTGTTCTGAAGTCTTCTGTCCCTCCTGTGTTTCATTTAGAGTAGCGGGTATTCAAGATTTTTTCCCTCTGAGTCGTGATCAGCTTAGTTTAACTTGAGACCACAGAACAAGGCAGACACACCAGCTCACTAGTACAAAAGAAACCATGGGCATATCCCACTATAGAAGGGATTACAACAGCACTGTACTGTATTTTTATTCCCAAAAGTTGATTCTGTTCACCTGGACGTAGTGTTTTCATCTCCAGAACACTTTGGATTTTGTTGAGAAGGTGAGAGATGTCATGATGGAGGCAGATGAAACCATGGTTTTGTACAACGTTACATCTCTCTTCACCTGCATCCCAGTCACAGAAGTGTTGGAGGTAGTGTGTAAGAGATTACAGGATGATCTCAACCTCAGCAACAGGACCACTCTCAGCATCGACCAAGTGTGTTTGAACTGTGTCTTCATTCCACCTACTTCACATACAAGGGTCAGTTCTACAGGCAGAAACATGGGTGTGCCATGGGCTCCC